TTTGTTTTTTTGTTGGAGGGGGGGGGGGGGGGGGAGGAGTTTACAAGATGGAACTTTTTTAAAAGTATTTTCTGCTAGCCTTGTTCTCAGAAATAGCCTAACAGTTTTGGCTGAAGTTTTCCACAACAGTTTAGCCTGTCATGGAAAATGTCTCAGTGTTGTCTTTCTTACAGTGTCTTTTCAGAGAGGAAGTTTTTTCAGCATTCCTAAAGACAGATTCTGGATTGACAACTGGACTCTTCCTCTTCACCATTCCCAGGTTCAGCAGCTGTTATTTATTTTATTTTATTTTATTAAAACGTTTTCATTATTCTAGGAAAGATTTTGCTGAACGGTGAGCTTTGAGCAATGCCCTGATATCATTCCCAGAATTCTTTGGCTCCAGCTTCCAAAAATCTAACGCTGGGAACTGGCAGCTTCAACATTCCTGATGAACACTGCTCTTCTGGTGGATCATGACTGGACAGGTGATCTGATGCAGCTGGATCCTATCCCACTGAAAGCCTAAAAACTTTCACTAAGACCTTGAATTGGCTCTGGTGGCTTCCCATTGGATTCCAGAGGATGCAGAGCACTGGGGAGACACGGCTTTTCCTGCTTGTTGTTCTAGCTCAAGTATCCAGTAATCTTTGTGAGTTACCTCGGTATTTTCTGACTGTGATAAACACATGGACCATTATGGTTAGATCCTCATCTGAGGGAGGAAGGGTAAAGTCTCAAACCAGAGGTGGAAGGCAGCCCTTGTTGCATTGTTGCTATCTGTGTATCCACTAGTAGTGATGAATCCAGTAAGATCTTTAGACTTCATAATGCATTGCTCACATGTATCCCTACATGTTAGTGATAAGCATCTACCAGGCATCGACAGTCACACAACAGGAAATGTGACCTCCGGGCCAAGTCATCCCTTCTTCAGGGAAATATTATGGAAGGGCCAAGAAACTGAGTTGGAATTCTGTCCCTACTACTGTAAAGGGAGGGTGACATGTACTAGCTGCTCTGAGGCTGGAATAGTACTATGCAGCCCTGCCTGGGCAGGAAGACTCCTCCTCCCCTGTCGGTTGTGGAAGCAGCATGCGGCTTGACTGGTTGGTTAAAGATTTTAAAACTTTACAACAGACAGTAATAGCACAACAGCAATTTCATTGTATCTATAACATGTGGTGGATTTTAGCGGTAAGTAAAAGTAATAGTTTTGTTTCATACAAACTCCCCATATATCTCACTGCAAAAGTCCATGCACTTGAGCATTTCGTAAACTATTGATTTAAGGGTCAAGAATCCATAACATTCACGGTAAGTCACTCTGTTATTTTATACTATGTTTCCCATGCTGTGTATTTTAAATGGTCATTGTCACTACACTAGCACAATAAATAATGCATGAAAATAGGCCTGATTATGAGGAGTGTATCTGTTTAACCATTATTTAGATAACATGTCTTTTAGGGCATTGCTAGATACACCTACCAATGAAACCTGATGAAGGTGGGTTGGGCTGTATCTTCTCTTTAGTGTTCTCCTGAATGATGTCCCAGAGCTGCCATATAAACTTGGGATGGAGAATGTAAAATGGCTGGTTTGGATTCCTCCTGCGATGCTGCACGTAAGGTGTGAACAGGTTATAGTCTGGCTTCTTATACCACTAGGGGGTGGAGGGAAAACAACCAAAAGTGAGAAACGGATCAGTCCTAGGGTGCTGCTCAATACACATTAAACAGTATATAAAATACAACACCAGCAGCTCTGTGTTGGCACTGAAGTACGAAAGCATAGGCAGCAAGCCAGCGTGGGTTCTGGACATTTTCTTAGTGAGCCAGTCCCGAACTTGGGCTGCTCTGTTCCCTCCTACATACATGTGCTCCCAATATGCAATTCACTCCAGTGCACAGAACCAACACAAGGCCTATGCACCATTCACAGACCCATGTTATAATTAATTAGGGGTTAAATAGGCTTAGTGCAGGACATTGGCACTGGGGTGAATTTCATTCCAAAACACCACCAGCTGCAGCAGCTCCTGGAGGAGGCAGAAAGCGCTCTGTCAGCTGCACGAAAGGGGGGTCACCTGATGAAACAGGCACTCTTATCTCCAGCTACAGAGTGCTCAGCTCTATTGCTTCCCTGGGCTCCCACTGCGAATAGCCTCCTTTTCTACAGAGCCTCTCCAAGTGACTGCAAGATGGATTTTTTTGAGGGTGGGTGATGGTGACTGCAAACAAAGGGGTTTGGGGGAGGAGGGCACCAGCAAATTAATTTGGAAGCCTGGGGACTTGTGAATAAATATATATGGTGGTGTGCTTGAGGGTCAGTGGATTTGGAAGAGACTAGGGGAGAGTATTATGTATTTTTATTTAAGTGTAGGATTTTTGTGGTGGGACATAGGGGAAAATGGAAAATATGGATGTGATTAACTACCTTTGCTCATGCCCCTCCACAAAAATCCAGCACTTTCCCTACCTGTCCCACACAGCAATTTCTCCCATATTTATTATCTAACTCTCATTTTTAAATACACAAAACAATAAGACCTCCCCCCAACTCCCTACCAATCCATCTGCCCTCAGTATCTCTTAAAATAAGTAGTCTGCTCAGGTAGAAGTGAGGGCCATTCAAAAGACTTTGCCCAGTGAATATATATCTCCATATGGAAATGGTGTGCTGTACTTGCAAGTACCACATTAAAATCTTGAGATCATTGAACTGCCTGGTAGCTATGGGCTGTAGAAGCAAACTATTCATTGCAGGTAACTTTGTCCACCGTTTTCAGCTGGTTGGGAGGAAATGAGCAAACTGAGGACTTACCACATTCAGATTTGCAGAGTAAGGAGCAGGATCCCAGGCCACTAAAATAACATCTTTATATAATGAGCTGTCAATGAAGTGATGGTTTGGATTGGTGAGAATCTGCAAACAAACACACACACACCCAAACACACACAAATGTTTTCAATGAAACCGGAGCAACGTGAATTCTCTCTCTATAAAAGAGCATGCAAAAGAATAGCACTAGTAATGCAAATGTGTACCAGAGTAAAGTCCAGGAACTCTATGAACATCAAGCATTTTGAAACATGGCACATCAGTGGCAACACAGATACACATCCATGCTTTTGTTGGATGCTCAACAAGCCAACAAAAATGGTGGGGGAGTGGGAAAAAGGGGGGTTATCATCAACCTTTTCTTGTTAAGGCTCAATGCAAGGGTTTTTTTAAACACGTAAAAAGACCTGAGCCCAATGGAAGTACAAAAAGAATAATCAACTTCCCCAAGGGCTTCTCATCCCCCTCCACAGCGTCAGATGCTCCTAGTTATCTGGTGGCCCTGTGGACACACATAGCATCTGTACAGCTGGTGTGTGTCCAGAAAATAGTCAGGAGTTCCTCTCTGAAGTAAAAGCTTCCCTCAGCCACTTGTGTTACTTGAACCTTCAGTGAACTTTTATCAATTTTACATGTTAAGAGTTTAACCATAAGCAGCACTCATGCTTGTGTGAAGATTCAGTTCACTGAATTACAACTGTGTCCACAGTAGATCACCAGTAAGGAACATGTTATGGGTCCACCCAGAAGCCCACCAGTTGTGTGCGGACACAGCTATGTATTTTGGAAATTTAAAATTAAAATATTACTAGCCCAAACTGCACATCGGAACCTTTTCTTGGGGAGCCAGCAACTTTCACAGGAGGGCTGTGACACCAGGATCCTACTTTGGTGTTCTGTTGTTTTTAGCTTAAATAAAAGAGATCCCTCAATGAAAGTAGTTCCAAAACGGAAAATTCAACCCTTCAGAGTAAAAGACCCATCTGCTTCGATAGGAGCAAAATAATTCCATTTTTGCAATAGCAGAAATACAACTCAGAACCACTGCTGTCAATTGCCTTCTGTTTCTCTCCAATATATCTTCTCCCTAATCCTTCTGTGGCTTTCCTTTCATTCCTCCTGGCCCATCCTTTCCCTGAGCTGCTATTCCTTTGGCTCTTAACCAGATCTTGCTGATCCCTGGGTCATCCAAACCCAGAGAGGATTGGGAAGAATGACTTCAACAGTGATTAAAAACAGCATTAATTTGGCTCTAGCTGTTTTATTAATCTGCATTCCAGAGAAATGAATTCAAAACTAATTGTCATTTCCTTTTAGATTTCAATGAGCCATATTTCCTTGAGAAAAATAATTTTGTTGCCATAGCAGTATTTTCCCTACCACAAACTTTGAGCTTAAGTGACTTTTCATCAGCTTTCTACAACACCAGAAGAAGCAGTCCAAACCACCACAGTATCCCTAACCTCCCATTTCTGTGGGTAGTGTTTTTTTAAAATAATGTGAGCTCTTGTCTTCAGAGTATAAGCTTGTTAGGGCAGAGATCATGTCTTCTTTTAACTTTGCTCAGCACCTATCACATTGGGGGCACTGCCAAAAACAAATAGTTAAGAAAAGGAAAAATTTAACAATAATGCTACTAAACTGAGTTATGCAAGGTCTGCTATGACACAATTTTGAAAATGCAATAATAATTAGAATTTATATAGCATGTTTTACGTTCAAAACACTGTAAGGGCATTAACTAATTAAATCCTCACAATCCCCAGATGGGGAAACTGAAAGGAGAAAATGAAGTGGTTTGTCCAAGGCCAGAGCTTAGGAAATCAGTTTTAGCAGTTTTTGAAAACTGAAAAAAAATACTTCAACCACAAGATGTCACTACAGCTCAACAAACATTAACATCTGCGGAAGAAAACTTTTTTTCTGGTTAGTTGAGGAAGTTCAGCTCAGACACATCGTCTAGTTTTCACTGAGGTTTCTGTATCTTGTATACATTTCCAACTGGACTTACAAAGAGGTGGAGTGACTTGGCCTACCAAGGTCATGCTCCAAGACAGCTAGCTCCCAGGAAAAGGTGGGGTGGGGGGTTGTAATGGAAGATAGGGGAGCTCCAGTAGCCATGCTCCTACCGGATCACAGGAACCCAGAAGCAGTATGGAGGCACAAATCCTCTGCAGTGATGACTCTGGCCTTAAGCAGATACCTTGAGATCTGCAGGCTTCATCCAAAACTTTGCAAACCCATCCTTGATATCTTTGTCTCAGGGGAACTCTGTGATTCCAGACTCCTCAAGTTTCCTGCCACTATGCAAGAAAACCCTGAAGGGGAGAACTGACCCTGAATGTTTCATCGGTTCTACATCATGGTTATGTCATTGGTGTGAATCACTAGTTGCTCACCAGATTATCCAACCATCTTTGTCCTTAAAATGTTTGATTTCTAAGATGTTAATTAAGCAATGTTATATTGCAGAGAAATAATAAACATATGAGTTCACAAAAGATTCTGACCTGGGAGTTAATGATGCGCATGGTCGTTTTATTTCCAACATCTTTTTCATAGCCACGTGTAGGAGCAGAATTAAATCTCAGAACTGCATCATGAGAATCTAAGGGCACAAAAGGGCTACATTTATATATTTCTTAGTAAGGTAAAACAATCTAATTTCAAGGAAAATGGATTTGTAAATTTTCCTAATCCTGGTACTGTATTCAGAGGATAAATATTCTACCATGAGGCAAAGCCCAAATCCTCTTTATCTGCCATATGTTACTACAATTGTTCAAATCCACTGGAAAAATGCAGAACAATCCAATACTAATTCAACTTGCAATGCATATGCAGTGTAGTTGCAGCCATATCATACCTCACCCACCTTGTCTCTTGCAATGTATACAGATTTACCCTAATTGGATAAAATTAGAATGGAAAGTTTATTAGTCCACACAATTTTGCATATTATTTCTACTGCAGTATATTAAAACAAATACTTCATGCAAAGATGCATTAAACTAGGTCAGTATGCAGCTATGTAGTGATCATCACTGCTTAGATACAGAGGTTTATAATAGGCTTATATTTTATAAAGCAGAATTCTGTCCCCCAAACCTGCAAATCCAACCTCATCCCCCAAATCAGTGCAGCTCTTGTGGAATCTGAGGGTGGGCAGAGCTGTCAGCACACAGGCCCTATTCCTCCACAGCAACTTTAGGGCCCTCTCTGGCTTCCCGGCAGCTGGGCTCCAATAGAGCTGCACTGCTAGGGCTTTCCCACAAACTGGAGTTGTGCAATTAGGAAGAGGAGTTCTGTATAACAGACAACTGACTTTGGCCCCAATTCAGCAAAGTGGTTAACCATATGCTTATCTTTAAGCACATGCTTAAATCCTATTGATTTCAGCTTAAGTACTTTGCTGGATTGAAGCTTCCATCAGTATTGTCTTTGTGAGCATTCCCTACTGCTTATGTAGATTTCAGAAGAGGTTGGAAGGGGGTGCAGAGGAATGATGAGAAAGGGGGTCAGTGAGAATGGCACCCCCACTACAGACAGTACTCTCTTGCTTTCACACCTGGCCCTGGGATCTACACGAGTTTTCTCCCTTCTGCCTATGGAGGGAGGGGGGATCATCTAGGCCAAAGTATGCTACCCACCTCATCTCATGTGATGGTTTAACTGATGAGTACAATGAGTTACTATAACCGTTATTAATTTAACTATATTTAAAATGCACCCATCCATAGCTCTGGGCACAGCTACAAAATCATTCCACATGGAGCCCAGCATTCACTTTGCCTACTACGCTGGTCCCACCCACATTAACTCTCCCCTTTTCACCCAGGCCCTCGGCCTGGAAAAATAGTGGAGAGCTACTGCAGTGCAGTGCGACCTGAAGATCAACACATCCCAACTCTGAGGTCACTGGAACGACTTGTGGGAATGTGAGATTCGGGACTGAGCCGTACGGGCCCGAATCTGCAAGGTGCTGAGCTCCCCAGCTCCTTCTGGTACCAAGCAGGGAGGGGTGTACATCTCTGTGCACTGTGCAATGGCCTCACATATTCTGGCTCAAAAGATTTTGGCCCCTTCCACCCAAACATGAGTGGCCTGATTTTTTTCCCCAGAAGCGTCAATGGGAGCTGCAAGGCTCAGCACCTCTGAAAATTAAGCCCCTTACATTTAGGTGCCTAAATATGGGATTTTAGGACCCTAACTTTAGGTGTCCAGGTTTGAACGTTTTGACCACAATCTTGTGACCACAGGGAGTTATACAGTTCACTGTGTGTTTGTTAACACCATTTAGCAGCGTCTTAAAACTTCCCACGTCTATTAGTGCTGGCTTTTATATCACGTGTAAAAACCTTTTCTTTTAAAAGAAAAGTAAACTGGGGTGCAGTTTAACACTTGTATTAGCTGCTTTTAAGAGGAGTGATTTTAAACCTTGTGAAGTATTTTGAGGTATCCAGGATAAAGCTATAAAATGACTGATTACTATTCACATGTTAAGGGGGAAATAAAACCTCCACATGACTTCACAACAGAATGTGATGCTGCCAAAACAGTTGTGCTTGCCATTAAATAACATGATCTACAATTAAAGTGTTTACAGTTGCAACATCTATTTTCTTTCAAAAACAGCTATGATGAGAGTCCAAAAAGCGAAGAGCAAATTAAAGTCTATGACAGCATTTCTAATAGGAACACAGAAGAGGGAGCTAAAGGGCTACTAATAAAAAGTCCCTGTGATCCTCTTTTATCAATTTTTTGCTTCTGGAAAGATATCTAATTACAACCCTGATATGCGTATCACAAACTACAAGAAGGCGCATGCAACCTGGAGCTGCACCCCATGTTCTTCCATCAGAAGATCTCTTCCTTTCTAGTTGGTCTCTCTTCAGGATTGAAAATCTGTGCCTGGGGAAGGAGCTTGGGGGCAGAAAGGCTGATGGCAGGGCCAGCATCACCATTCCACCACACGCTATGTGTGCAGCATGCTATATCCCACACCCTGACTCCAATGGAGCATTTCCAAATAGCTGGAGTGGGCATTAGAACCGGTGCAGCAGAACAGGGGCCTTGCATGGTTCGCTCTAGCATTCATCAGATGCCCAAAGATGTACAGGTTCTGTGACCAAGCACTCCGCTAAGCCCTGACTGCCTGACAGAAAGTTCTGGAGGGGGCTTCTGAGAGAAACCTTAATTTTCATTTCCCTGTTCCTTTCCCACAGGCTTTTCCGATGGAGGGGTTTGAAATATTTGACGAAGGCCTTATTAATGGTGGCATTTCAAACCTGTAACTTTTACTGGGACTCTTCCTTTCAGGAGAGACACAGCAGGTGAACATTCCCAATTAAACTAAAGGCTCCACAAGAATACAGAGTGAGTGGCATGAGGCTGCCATGACCAGAATTGTTATGAGGGAAAGCTTAGTGCCATGGAGTCAAATGGGCACTGAAGGCACCACAACGCCAGGGTGACCACCCAACACCACACCGAAAATACCTGTGCTGGTTTGAGACTCTGACACTAAAGGATTTTGCTTCATTTCAGTGACAGCACACAGTGGGAGGAAGGAATTGTTGAGCTATTTCACCTCAGAGGTTTCTAAATCAGTGGGACTTCTCATGAAATTGGGGGTTACTCAGTTTTGATTTTAGCTGCAGGCTGGCAGGGCACTTGTGCTGTGCTGGAAGCCCATTAGAGTAGTTTGATAATGACAGCGGTTCTAATAGATCACAGAGATTTAAGGGAAACCCGTGGCAAAGAGACAGAGCGGTAAGATGAAGCAGGTATGAAGATGAGAAATCCTGGATGATGGGAGGAATTACTAGTGTACATCCAAAGATTTCTACGGAAAGTTGGGAGAGATAATTCTTGGTGCTCCAGAAGCAAATGGAGGAAATTTGATGCATATATTTCTTCCTTCTCTTGATCCTTTTAACATACTATGATTGTGTCACATCAGTAAAGAAATCCTAAGACAACAAACAAAACAAAAGCTTTTCCTTACACTGTACTAATGTATAGACAGAAATACAATGAAGATTTTAAAAATGAAAGCCTGAGAATAAAACTAACCTGTTAAGGAAGTAAACATGCATCACACCAATATGTAAAACTGTCACGGTTCTATTAAACTCAATGCATTCTTTGTGCCCCAAACCATAATAAAATAAATAAAATGACGTCACCCTCTTAAAATGAATGACTACCATGGGTCTGATTTTCTCTCAGTTATACTGGTGTCATACAGGAGTACTCCACTGAAGTCTATGGAGTTATACGGATGTAAAACTGGGGAGAGAGAAGAATAAGGATCATCAGGCTTATCCCTGAAAAAGGATGGACCCTTTGATAGATGAACACACACACACTTATGAGTGAGATGCATTTTCACCCACCTATTTCATCCCCTAGAGAAGAGTTCAGTATTGCACCAGCAGACATAACTACGGCACAGCTTCCGAAGCCATGTGGATATAGTTTGCCCAGTGGAATTTGAGGAACGTGCTTTTCCCATCCAAGAGCTGAAAAGGGGTCCTCCTTGCCATCTATTGTTTTCACATGCACCCTGTCCTTGAGCTCACAGATGAGCTGGTCTCCTGTCAGTCTGGAGTTTCGTCGTTTCCCTTTGAACCGCACCCCATGCTTGTTGGTGTTCAGATAGTCTTTCATAGCTTTCTGCAGGCGAGGGGTCAGCATCTTGGAGGAGATATCCCCTTTCCAAAGCCTATAAAGGAAGGATTTTGACATTGTGGAATATAACCCATCCCAATCATCAGACTCATCAAACAGCTGGCTTCTCCTGCGTGTTGGGTTTCTTTTCTTTGTTCTTTTCTCATGGGTCCATTTTTCCTGTAAAACATTTTCCTTCTGATCATTGGGAGAGATGAATTTCACTAGCTCTTGAATGTTGCTGTGTTGCTGAGGCTGGCCAGCAGCAAATAAATAGTTGTCATCCCCTTGATAGAAAGCATATTTTGATTTTCTCCCTACCTGGGAAGGAAAAAACTCTTCTTCATTTTCAAAGCCATCCTCTAGATCAATCCACTTTTTAATGCTTCCGGTCCCCGATTTAAATGAATCTAAGAGATCTTCGTTAAGAAGCACCTCGTTCCTATCTATGGTTTCAGAGGATGATGGATCATGTATTGCTCCCATAATAACTCTCTGCTTGCCCTGAATGGGCAGGAGCCTCTTCGTCTCAATGTAAGAGAAGGAACTTGGAACTGGTTCAGCAGTGTTGCTATCTGTAAAATAGATGAAGATCACCAAGAAAAGGAGACCCCATGCAAATAGCCCAAACAGCATTAGTTGTTTCCATTGCTTCAAGTTAGGTTTCATGGCAATGCCTGTACCAACTCTTCTGTGCCTTGAAGTATTGGTGAAGGGGAATGAAACCTGAAAAGAATATCAAATATTAATCAAGAGCTGTTCTGAAAACAAAGAAAACGTAGAAGTATATTTAAAAGTTCTGGGAGGAGTAGGCTCAGTGCATACACAGCAGCGTGAGAGTCTCAGGGGAAGAAACAAACATAGGCGCTCAGGGACACCATATAGGTAACACATTTTGGCTCCATCCGCATGGTGACAGCTGCTGGCTACAGAAGCAGTCTCTGGTGGCCAGTTTATAGAGCAACACTGGAACCTGACCTAAAGGAGATAATGTACCTGTTGGCTTCTGTTGTACCCAATACACCAACATGATTAAAAACAAAATTGATGTGCATTATGGAGAAAGTCTAGCTCCCTCCTCTATGGCCATGGAAGGCCCTCTGCAGTCGAACCACTATGATTCTTCAGTATAAAGGTCAAGGAATTATGTAGGCAGTGCACAGAGCCTCTCCATAGTACAGAGCCTTGCTGTGCAAGGGGCTAGTGAGGGGAGGCTCATAGGCAGGCTGGAATGGGGGCCTTATTCATTTACATGGGATACCTCCATTTTTATATGGTTGAATTATGCAAGTGGATGTACACACCGGCTGCAAGTTGTTCTACAAACTATTCAGCAACATATTAGCCTCAGGCTGTGCTGTAGATAACTGTGTAACCTCAGCATGAATTTCAAATATGGATGGGTCTTACTGCAGACTTTGAGCCCAATTCTTCTCTCACACGGGTATAAATCAGAAATGACTCATGTGAAGTCAATGGCGTTACACTGGAGGAAAGCCAGCGCAAGTGAGAGAAGAATTAGGCCCACTACTCCCACACAAACAGAAATATGCTGCATGTAGCAATATGCTGGCGGCCCATTTGTATTTTGAAGGACAAATTTTATTTGTCAAAGAATAATATCGAGCACAGTGTAGTGTGTCTATTTCAGCTGTGTCATCTCATGCTTATACTACTACTTCCATAGCCTGATTATCCAATGTTGCACCGGTTTTACACTGATGTATCTCCACTGAAATTTTCCTCAGCTGGTGTAAATTGGTGTTGCTTCATTGCACCACCTGATCTGGCCCAATGGCTTTAAAACCAGTGTAGTCCAGCAGAATATCAGGTTCTTTATATGCAAAACAACTGTCTTTTTCACATCCCCTGTACGACACATTCTGTAGTATTAGTGGAAAGAACAGAGTGGATTTTTGGATGCCAAGATGGGATGCCAAGAGTTAGCCTATTTCTAAAAGATAGAACTGATGGGACAAGCCACTAAATATACAGCTCAAGGACAGTAATAGACTTAAAAAAAAACAGGTATAGACTTGGAAATTTGCACTTTATCCACGACGCTGGGATTGTGGAGGAATTTTAGGGACAAAATCCTGGGAAAATGAAGTAAAATCTGAGTCACAGGACTTTACTCCAAGGAAAATACACTGCAGGGCTGATGGCTCGTCACAGACATTAGGACATTCTTTACCACTCAGCTGACCAGCAACAAGAGAGCATATTACGGCAGGGTGGAGCAGAGGATCAGCCCATACATCCAGACACACATAGGGAGGATGCAGTAATGCAAGTGGGGCTTTGCAGATGCTAAGACCCGGGGGTGCCAATCACCCAACTTAACTGTGCAGTAAAGCTATTTCCTATTTTTCTAGTCTAGGCAAAGCCTCGAGCAGCAGAAGAGCAGCTGACTTGGGGCCTTACAAATGTCCAAGTAGAGACACAATATCACAGTGTCACAGCTGAATGGCCAAGTTTCACTGCAAACAAACTTACTTCTAATACACGGAAGAAATTCATCAGTGTAACAGTGAACACTTAATTCCCATGCTCCGCATACACTCAGCTTCGGTTATACAAAACACCTGGAAAAATACCTATTAGGCAAACTGACCCATTTCCTTCCCCCCACTCTGTCGGTACAAAACAAGTCTCATGAGTGCTGTTTCCAGTTTTAAAAGACTCAAGGCTATTTCTGTCAGGAGACTGCTTACAATATGATTGTTGTGTAACTTAGATCTGCACTGAAGTTATTCTAACCGGCCCACTCAGTGTTCAAATGATTTGCATTTGTTAATCAGCATTCTTTGCCTGTCTGAACCACTCTCATCCCTTTTTATAATTTTCCCTGCTGGTTTCCATCCACCCTCCACTTTTCAACGACTGCCTTCCGGACAGCACACGTTACCCTTTGCTCACTCAGGTGTTCCTCTAGCTGTGTATACATTTCATGTTTATAGTGTTGGTCCCAGAATATGAGAGAGAGAAACGGTTGGTGAGCTAATGTCTTTTATTGGTCCAACTTTGGTGAAAGAGACTCAGGCATACACAGAGGTTTTCTTCCAGTCTGGGAGCTCTGTTTAAGGTCAAACATTTGTCTCACCAGTGGAAATTGGTCCAATAAAAGATTATCTTGATTATCACTTCAAAAGTTTTTTTTCTCTTACTTAATTGGCCTCTCAGAGTTGGTAAGACAACTTCCACCTGTTCATGCTCTCTGTATGTGTGTGTGTGTATATATATATATCCTCCATTCTATGCATCCGAAGAAGTGGGATGTAGCCCACAAAAGCTTATGCTCAAATAAATTTGTTAGTCTCTAAGGTGCCACAAGTACTCCTGTTCTTTTTACAGTGGAGAATGTAATTAGAAGGTAAGATAGTTTCTTCTTCAGCAAAGGTAAGTGTCTCCCTTTGGCACCCCTGTAGCTCAAGATCTTATCTTGCTGCATCTCTCCTGAGTGGTGGGCATGTCTAAGCATTAGCTGATGTCTAAGCTCCAACTCCCATCTGGAAAGTTTTTGTCTTTAGCCAGTTTGCTTGCATGAAAGCCAGTTGAAACTCTCTCTCAGGTCAGGGGGTCATTTATTTATTTAATAAAATACTAACAATGTATGGACAACAAAAGGCAAAACCATGTCTATTTTTTAAATTTCCAGAAAATGACCCTAATTCTCAATCAAAGTTTTTCCAATGAAAGCCTCAGTCTATGGGAGGTGTAACTTTGTTCTGCTAAGATTCAAATTACGGTGTGCTGCCTCTCTGCTGTAACTCCCATTGTTTCCCAACAAGGGGCACTTTCAGTTTTTCTAAGCCAAGCCTCCTGACTATTTATTAAAGGAGAAGAGATGGGTGAAGGAGATCTCTTTGGAACATTCCTCCCTTTCAAGGTTGCCTATTGTTCAATTAATCTGCATAGACCCCAGCAGCTAAGAGGTCGGCATGGTTCAAGTTGATGTTCTAAGTTTTGCACTGTTATGTTAAACAGGGTTTTTCTTGGCTGCAGTTTTACAAAGAGCAGGTCACCTTGGGGTTATTTGGGATACTGAATGTTAGTTGCAGGCAGACATTCCCAGGGTGCCGGAAATCAGACTAGAGTTTATTTCATGGAACCTTTACGTAGCCTGAGTAGACAGGACGTGCTTCTTTAGTCAGCTAATTCCATGGTATTAAGAAACCTCTGGCATGAGTCAAGACAGCTGGAGGCTGCATTTCTAGGGTAGAGAAACACACACACACACACACTTTTGTGAGGGGGGTGCCAAATTATTTTTAGCATTCTCACAGTTGCTGCACAGGCCTGTACAGTAGGCAGAAAAACTGACAGTCCCCTGGGGATGGTGTCTGCCAAAAATATATATTGGTTTGTTTATGGCAAAGGAACTTGTCTATTGGCTATAATTAGGCCTTCTAATTAATGAATTGCTCTTGGACAGCTTTCTTGTTAGTATCTTTAATCATTATTTGCCAGATAAGTCAACTGTATTCAGTATTTCTTGTGGCAATGAAAAACAGTTCCTTTTTGTTTCTGCAGGGTCATCTAAATAATGCAGTGCTAATATATCTATAACGTTACTTTGTGTGCTTTGCATCAGATTGCCCCCTCCCAGGGAACACCAAAATGGGGAAGAGAGATGGGCAATATTACCAACTCCAAGCTTTCAATAATCATGAATCAGGCTCCCAAAAGTTATTAGACTGACTTAAAAATAATGAACTTTTAAAAATAATAATTTTTTGGGGGGAGGGGTGTTGCCTTCTGGCGCTTGGGCATCTATAAGGTTCATGATGTCAAGCTATTCTCTGATTCTGGCAGCTGGGACTTTAAGAAAATCACCAAATATTGTGGGAATTGCGGTAAAGTCACTAGAGTTGGCAACACTACAAGCTGGAGAAAATCTCAGTGAGGTTTCTGTTGAGGATCATTTCCTAGATTATTCTGCAGGACAGGGGGACTTGGTTGCATAAATCCCGGGGTTTCAGTGGAGACCAGAACCATTCACATGGAGGCTTTATGCTTCTGATACCCACTCACCCTTTACCACCTCCCTACAGGTAGTTGGCATTGGAGCCAAGCTGCCAGGAACTTCTCTACCATCACTGTTCCTGGAGCTTCATCAAATGAACTCCACAGGGCAGAGACTACTCAACTTAGAAGCTAACGTAGCCTGGGCTGGCAGGGGGAAAATACATGTGACACTCCCATCTTTGCCCCACGTGTGGCTCCCCAGCTATATGGAATGCTCTTCAGTAGATCTAGGAACAGAGGGAACAGTGCTGCAGAGTGACCCCATCTGCCAGCTAAAATGTCAAGCAGCCCCATCTATCACAACCACCAGCACTCACTTTCATAATCTCCATAATAGCCACATCTGATTCTCACTAATATTAAACATCAAGGGTGAAATCCTGGCCCCTGCTGAAATAAATGAGAAGACTCCCATTGAAGTCAATGGGGCCAGGATTTCCTTTCCTTTCCTAAGTTTCCTTTCCTAACTGTGGGCTCAACCAGGGACAGACGACCTCTCCATCTTTCATAAAACTATTTACAGTCCCATTCCAGTTGTGGTGACATAATGAAGAGCTATGTCAAGTATGCGAGAGCTCTAGATGGCTCACCTATGGATAAAAGAAGAAAGGTGATCGTATGCAACCTTTACATACATATACATGCCACCCAGGCAGCAGAAAGCCAATCAGCCCTTGGTGCAACTTGGTAGAACTTAG